GGGAGGAGTGGCAGCAGGTCACTGTGAGGGAAACTGAGGCACCAGGCTGCGGCAGGCAAAAACCCAGACCTTCACCGCGACCTGGACAGATGCCTTCTTTCCTAGAGCTCTACAGCTGTGGAAATGCATTTCCTTTTTTGTTGTTTTGTTTGAGACAGGGTCTGGCTTTGTAGTCCAGGCTGTCCTTGAACTCGCAGAGATTCTCCTGCCTCAGCCTCCAGAGTACTAGGATGACAGGCGTGCGCCACCACGCCCCGCCTTAGAAATGCACTTTCTAAAGAACAAATGTTTTAAGGTTGAGCAGTAGCACCTCAGTGGAAGGAAGCTTCTAGACTTTCTCTAATTCCAAAGCTTTGGTGTATTTCAGAGCTGAGGATGGAACTCAGACTTTCATGCATGCTAGACACAGACTGTATTGCTGAATAACGCCACCATCCCCACCATCTCAGATCTTTCATACAGGGCTACAAGCCCAGGTTATTCCCTGACCCACGTCTTCTCATAGGAAGGGCATTCCAAAAACCAGACTCAGAGTCCAGTGAGAAACCAAACCCCACAGAACAGACTCCTATGCATACCCCAAAACCTCAATTCTAGTTTCCCTCTTGCCCTTGGTCCTCCCTGTCAGCCTCACCAAAGGGTTTTATCCCTCCAGCAAAGAGTGACACGGCGACCTATGCCCATGTGTACCCGTGTGGCCACCAGGTCCTGTTGGATCTGTGTCTTCTTCAGCCGGGGCAGAGCTGGGCCAGGCTGGGCCTCCAGAATGGCCTGCACCAGGGCGTCTGTGTGGGGCGTGGCTGCCCTGGGTGCCGAGGCACGGCCAGGCTCCGGGGGAACCTTCAGCAGGGCACGGCGCTCCCGGAGATGCCGGACATAGCCCTGGAGCTGGGCAGCCACTTCCTGTGGAGTGGGGGTGTCCACACTGCTGGAGGCAGGAGGGACAGTGTGAATGCTGGGGCACAGCCGTGCCGACTTCGTGGTGGCCACACAAGCCCATCATCGGCCTCCTGCTGACTGGAAAGGGCCCGTGGAGCCTGCGGTGGACCCCGCTGCGCACTGACACAGGCCAGCCTGTCGGCCACCATCCTCGGGCCACAGCGGAGGACGCCCTCCTGCCGTGCTCAGAGCCTCAGCTGCGGCTCACACTACCCTGCGGACGCCCTGCCGCCCGTCTGACCTCGCCGCCCCCTCAGGCTGGTTCTCCTGGGTGAGCACTGGTATCTGTCCCCATGCCAGCCTTGCAGTCCCACCCAACTGCCCACCCCAAGGGCTGCCAACCGCCATGCCATCCTCATGCGGCCCTGTACCAGGCCGCCCTGGGGACGCAGAGTCCACCCTCCCAGCGCAGGTGGCTGTGGGGGCCGGGCTGCCCCCCGAGGACCCGCTCCCAGCCTGGCGCGGTGCCGTCTTGGG